TGGGCTAGAGGAGGATGAGGAGGAAGGTCGTGGCAGCAGCCAGGTAAGAGGGAACAAAGATGGACTCACCCGCAGCGGCGCGCGGCGCACACGGCTGGCAAACGGCGCAAACTTGACTTCGACATTCAGCGTACCGGTGCTTGTGAAAGGTGGTGGGCGAGGGCGGGGTCCAAATCTATCGTAAGCTTGGCCCAGTGCGAGACGTACGCAGAGCAGGCAATCTTCACCCCGTCAGCCTCGACATATGCGCTCCCGTTGGCCTGCGTCACAAGCCCGGTCTTGATGACTGGGGTCAGCGTCCGGAGGAGAGAAGGACGCACACAGTGGCCGCAGCTCGTCGGGCGCGCGGGTGCGGGAGGGCCCGGCGGGCGTCGTCGCGAAGACGGGCGGCTTGGAGTCTTCGGGGGCGGGGATGCGGCGGCGGTCGAACGTTGCCATGGCGTGGGATGGGGACGGGAGATGGGAGATGGGCGATGGGAGAAGCAGAAGCAGTGGTGGCTGAGGGGAATGAGGAGCTGATGATGCGCGGTGGAGGTTTTCTTCCGCGTCAACAATCGTGCGTCGCCCAACTTTTTTCGCCCAACGTTCGCAGTAGATGGCGCGGCGACAAGAAACTCTACACACACGCACCAGAAGCACGTACGACGCACAGCACAGCACAACACAGCAACGAGGCCCAAGATCGACGAGAAGAAAACTATCCATATCTTGTCTACACAAACTATCTCCTCCGTCGAGCTCGCTGTCGAATGTAGGCAAGACCCAGGCCGGCACGCGCACCGCAAAGCAGCGCGCACCGGCAAAATAATCCTGTCGTCGTTCTGGGTCCAGTTTGTAGATGAACAGCGCGTAGGGGCGCGCAGCTCACACAATAATAAAGGACCGTGAACAATTTAACTCGAGAAGAAAAAGATGGATGCGCGGGCGAGCGCCTTTTATCCCCTCGGACAGATGGAAAGTCACGTGACGTCCCCACAGCCCACAGGGCGCGCGCTATCGCGGATCTCCGGCCCAGCGCAAGCGTCATGGGGAGGGTGGAGGTGGATGGATGGTGGGGCATGCCATGCCACACCTTATAATGAGCAGCTGGCTTGGGCTCTCCATGCTCCCTGCTCCGTGGCCACCATGACTGTGAGTAAGCTGTGCGGCAGGCTGACCCAGCGCTCGAAGCCCGCCCCACGCCGGCCGTCGTCCTCGCCATCGCCCTCGCAGCGCTCGCCCAGCTTGGACCACTTCGCGCGCCCGCCGCCCGATCACATGCCGCCCGAAGCGGCGGACCCGGCCGTCGCGCTCGTCTTGACCTCGCTCGCGCTGATCGATGCCGGCCTCGACCTCCTACGGCACATCGAAGACGACGCGCAGCTCACCCACGCGTCCCTCCTCATCCCCGGCGGCAGTGTGGGCAAGCACTTCCGGCACGTCAGCGAGACATTTGACGCGCTCCTCGCCGCCCTCGAACCGGGGTATTACTCGCACACCGAGAACGAGCACGCCGACGCCGACGCCGAGCACGCACACGCGCACGCGCACGCGCACGGCCGCCTCCCGACCATCGACTACGACGTCCTCCTCCCTGCTGCGCGGCAGGGCGTTGCGCGCGACCTCGATATTTGCCGCGCGTCGCTGGCCAAGGTGCGCGCTGGGCTCGAGGGGCTCGCGGCGGCGCCGGACCTCGCGGGCGAGCTGGCGCGCGATGTGGACGTCCTCGCCGTCACGCCTAGTCGGCAGTGCATGCGCTCTACGTTGGCGCGCGAGGTGAGTGTCGTGCCGAGGGGGAGTGGCGGGGTCGCGGAGATGCCCGAGTCGTCTTTGTGATCAGGCAACAGATCAGTTCGCATGTCCTCTTGATCTTCTGGAAGCGCAACTGCAGGGCAGAGAGCGCGCCGGGACATCCTAGGACAATGGTCTCGTGCCATGTCCTGCGCTGATCGCTTGCGCACGCCTCGATCCCGTACGACTCCCGTGCGTCCTCCTCCTCCTCCCTTCCTCCTATTCTCGATTCTGCCTTGCCTTGCCTTGCCTTGCCTTGCCCACCCCACTCCACTCTTCCTCCACACTAACCCCAGCTCTGGTTCTGCGCGCTGCACACTATCCACCACTACACGATGATCCGCACAATCTGCGTGCACGAGCTCGGCATCGCGCTGCCTGTCGAGTTCGGCACGGCCCCCGCTACGCTCCTCCTCCGCCCGCCTGGGTGGAAGCCTCCTGCCGAGGTGTGGAAGGCCAAGCTGTAGCTGTCGCTCATGAGGGAAGAGACTTGCACCTGCATGGCGAGGGGCTGGAGGGAAGCATGAGTGACGAGACCAAGATTTGTTGATATTATGTTGCCTGTAGCGTATGAATGCATAACACGACTCTCCACATACTCTCACCGACCCGCCCACGTCCGCGCCTAGAAGAACGCACTCATGCTCGACAGCTGGCGGTACACGTCCGGGCCGAGGCGCAGCCGCAGCGTGCTCGCGAACTGGATGAGGCACTGCGCCTGGTGCTTGAGCGCGCTCAGCGCCTCCATGCGCCCGTGGTCGCCGTACGGGCTCTCCTTGAGCTGCTGGCTCAGGCGGTGCAGGCACTTCATAGTGGTGACGATCACGTCGTCGAGGTTGCTGACAACGGGCTGGTCGAGCATGTGGTTGAAGTTGGCCGCGTAGCGCGCAATGCTCGTCGTGTCGTTGTCGAGCGGCAGCAGATCGGTGCTCCGGAACGTGTCGAGTGCCAAATCTGGTCGCCCCGCCGCAAACTGCCCCAGCCCCGCTTTGAGCTTAAGCAAGACCTCGAGCGTGTCCCAGTTGCGGTTGGAGATGCGGGAGCGCTTGCCAAAGTCGCTCGCGTAGACGTCGTGCACACGCGCAGCCAGCCCCTCCACGTCGGACACGCCGCCAAAGGCGCCAGACAGCGCCGCTTGTGCCTCAATCGGCGCGCCTGGCTGGCCTAGCGAATGGCCCAGTGCGCGGTTCACCGTGTACACTACCTTGTTGAAGTCGCCCGCGAGGTGGTAGAGCTCCACCGAGTTGGTGAGGGAGCCGTCGTGGGCCGCCTGGTCGGCCGCGGCGAGCACGACTTCGCGCACATAGTCCTTCTCGTTGCCGAGGCGGAGAAGGTCGAGGTCGCGCTCGATGATCCCCGGCTCCTTCGAGCCATCGGCACGCACGCTGCCCAGCAACTTGCTCCAGTCGCGCGAGCCGATGACAATTTCGCGCACCAGGTCGAGCGCCAGCTGTCGCTGTGCCGGACCCTGCGGAGAGGGCGCATCCGACGCCAGCGCGACGAGGTACGCGTACTGCAGAGCGCTTTGGGGCTCAACCTTGTGGAATGGAGCAATGTAGAGCTGGATGATGCGCGCGAAGTTGAGAGCGGGGTCCTCGCCCTCGGCACCAGTCACTGATATTAGCAATAAGTAGGGGGGCATGGAGGCTTACAGATGTCTGTCTCTTCTGCTGGAGGGATGCGCAGCAGGCCATAGTACTCCAGCGCAATGGCAAAGTGCACCGCATCAGTCTTGAGCTGCGGTTTCGAGTACAGGTATCCCACAGCCCGCTCGAACTGCGACGTAAGAAGCAGCAGGTTGAACCAAAGGAACGGCTTGGTGGCCGAGTCAAACTTCTCGCTGCCGTACTTGAGCACGAGCGTAGCCAAGTCGGCGACAGCGTACTGCTCCTGCGGCGAGTCGCCTTCCTTGTTCTCGCGCGTCAGGCTGAGCTGGAACCACATCCAGTCCTCGGTCGTGACGGCCACCTTAGCCGTCTTGCGCGCGAGGTCGAGTCGTCCGACGAGCTTGTACAGCGCGTACTTGAACTGGTCGGCCTTGGCGTTATTGCGGATGCGGCCATTATAGTCGGCAAACAGCTGGTCGCGGAGATTCTTGGGGATACGACGCTCCGGCGAGCCGAGGTACGCCTTGAATGCGCTGGGGAACGACCAGTCGTCGGTGAAGCTGTGCATGTGGTCCTCAACGAGCGCGAGCGCCTCGGATGGGTGTCCGGACCGCAGGAGGTAGTAGAGGTGGGCCCAGAGCTTGATGCCGTCGACTGTCTGCGGGGTGAAGCGCTCCAACTGCTCCTTGGAGCGCAACGTCACGTCGACGAAAGCGCGCACCTTGTTCGCAATGCCGGGTACGCCTCCAAGGTTGGCCTCTTTGGGGTTCTTGGCGATCGTCGCGTCCATATACTCTTCGAAGTCGCGCTCGAGGTACGACTTGGCGCCGCTTACGAGGCGGCCATGCAGAGCAATGCTCGCGTTGCTGCCACGCGGCGCAGCATATGCCTGCGCGTACTGTCGCTCGAGAACAGGCTCAGCAGTGCTGGGCCCGACGCCGAATTCTGCGTCACGCAGCGATGCCTCCTGTGTCATGTACGCGAGAATGTGGAACGCCTTCGGAAGCATGGGGTGTTTCTGGATGTCAGCTGCAGAGGCCGGTTGATGCTCACTGTGTCTCCCTTGACCGTCGTCTCAAACGCCTGGCACAGCTCGTATGGTTCACGCCTCAGCCGGCGCTGGTTGAGAGTCGTCACGACCTTGTCGTACTTGAGCGCCTTGTTGTGCATGACCATGCCGCCCTCGCGCTCGCCCGCCGAGCTCTTGCCCAATGTAGACTGAGCAAGGGGGAAGCGCCGTGTGCTCGCGCTGAGACGAGAGCGACCAAGGGTGCTGGCCCCGACAGCTGGGGAAGCGCCACTTGTGAGCCGCGCAAGCTCGTCGTCCGTCACTCCAAGCTCGTCCTGGAGAACTCGGTTCTTCTCGCTCTCCCAACTGGCGAGCATGCGCGCCTGGAACTGATCCTGGAATGCCTTGACGGTCTTCTGTCGCTGCACCTCAATGCCACTGAGGATGACCATCTCGTGCCAGTTGCGACCCCACGCGCCGACGTCCGTGTCACCGACCGCGTACGCGGGCCCAAGGTCGCCGAGGGGTGCGAGCCGGCCGCCCTGCTTTCGCCGTTTGGGACGGCTGGTCTCGGCGTTCGGGAGCTGCGCAATCTCGTGGCTCAGGCGCGAGGTATTGATACCGAGGTTGGAAAGAAGGGTGTGGCCTTCAGCGTTGGTTGCCTTGGAGCGCTTGCCCTTGCCCGCGGCGGCCTCGCTCATGCGCTCGATCTCGTCAATGTTGAAGCGGATCTGAGGGAGTTCTGGGTCATAGTCGACATTGTTGAGCGAGTTTGCCTTTGCGAGGATGGAGGAGAGAGTGGCAGTGGCTGGGGGCCGCGCTGGCCCTCCAAAGGTAGACGACTGCATGGCGGAGGAGTGAGGAGGAAGGATGTGTAGTGATGGTGGTGGTGGTGGTGGGGGGTGGATGTTGATTGTTGGTATGTGGGTGATAGAAATCCGAGGAGGGGGTGATGGCGTGTGCCACATCGCGTGGCAAGCACATGGGGAGTAGGTATCGCCGCCATCGCCGGTGGGTGATTGATGAGGGAGTGGGGTGGAGCGAGGTCTGTAGTAGGTCAGGGCTTGAGGTGGGGGCTTCACGTGGACGCTATCGGGGCATAGCTCCAGCGCTCCAGGCTCCAGGCTCCAGGTCGATCCAGTCGTACGGTGGTCGCCCTCTCCTGTCCGCTCTCGCCGCGGCCGCCGAGTGCGCCGATGCACTGCAAGCCGCAAGCCGCAAGCCGCAAGCCGCAAGCTGCGCACTCAGCAGTGCGGTGGCGCGTGGCAGGTTGGTAAAGAGGGCACAGCGTGGACGGACGATGCACGTACGCCGCGTACATCCAACACGGATTACAACTCGTTACCTAATTACGGCTCGTTAACTACTTTGGTTTGTTCTTGTTGCAACTGGCATCCAGCATCTAGCGCCACTCTGGTCCATCCTCGCATCACTCCATCACCCACTCGTCCTTTTCCTTCCATTCACCTCGTCACCTTTGCACAACAACAACCTCAGCAAAGCTCTTGCCATCTCCAACTTCTCCCATCTCACCCACCTCTCCACGCGTCTACACGTCTACAAGTCTACACGTCTGTCACGTAACTCCCCGTGCCCGCTCGTCTCCACCACTTCACTTTACCTCAACACCCTACACTCCTACCATCTCCCAACCGGCGACACAACCACCATGGCCGGTCCCCACTACGACTTGTGCGTCCCTCCTTGCACCGTCCCGAACTCGCTTACACCAGCCTCATCAAGCTCCTCCTCATCGGCGACTCGGGTGAGCAACCTGCCCTTCGCGCCCCATGACGCGCGCGTACTGACGTGTCAGGTGTCGGCAAGTCTTGTCTGCTTCTCCGCTTCTGCGACGACTCGTGGACCCCGTCGTTCATCACTACCATCGGCATTGACTTGTACGTACCGTACAGCGTGCACCGCCGGCGCCTGCGGGCACATGGACGCGCTGCGGTAATGACACCGCGCGCGACAAGCGCTCCTGCGCCCGCACCCGCAACTGCACCCGCACACACACACCTGCTCCCGCACATGCACCGCACAGAGCGCTGACACCGTGCAGCAAGATCCGGACGATTGAGCTCGATGGCAAGCGCATCAAGCTCCAGATTGTGAGCGCCGCAGCAGGCTTGGCGTGCTGACACGCAGTGGGACACCGCCGGGCAGGAGCGTTTCCGCACCATCACGACCGCGTACTACCGCGGCGCGATGGGCATTCTGATTGTTTACGACGTCACGGACGAGAAGAGCTTCAACAGTGGGTTACCATTGCCGAAGGTGGCCCACGACGTGCACGCTGACATTCAGACGTGCGCACTTGGCATGCGCAGATCGAGCAGCACGCTTCGCCCGGAGTCAACAAGATTCTTGTGGGCAACAAGTGTGACTGGGACGAGAAGCGTGCCGTCACGATAGACCAGGGCCGCGCTCTCGCGGACGAGTTTGGGCTGCGCTTCATTGAGACGAGTGCCAAGGCAAACGAGGGTGTTGAGGACGCTTTCTTCACGCTTGCTAGGTGGGTTTAGAGTCTCGCCATGACAAGCCCCGGCTGACATTGGCAGAGACATCAAGACTCGCATCATCGACTCTCAGCCTCAAGCAGAGCAGCCCTCCGCGCCCAGCGGCGGTGTCAACGTCAAGGACAAGCAGCCTGCCAGCAGCAACTCGGGCTGCTGCTAAGACGCCCCTCGAGCGCCTATAGACACGACGCAGCGCAGGGATATGTTGGTGCCCGGCATGAGCATCAATCCGGGGATCAGGGCGACGCTGTGTTATGATAATCTCCTTCTTATCACGCTCTTACTCGGCGATGTACTGTATTGATTCGGTTGGGAGATGAATACTAGACACGCTAGGGGGCAGGGCGGGGATCACAGCGAGGACGGAGGAGGTACAGTTGCAGAACATACTGCGAAGCAGTGGATGAGCAGGTCAAGGTAGCGAAGGGCGGACGTAGGTCTCAGCACGAAGTGATGTCGGGAAAAACGACTTTCGGGGCGTTGGGCGCGACCGCCGGGCAAGAAACGAGGGCTATGAAGGCACGTCGTCTGGTCCATCATCATTGCACAAGATACAGGACGATTGTGCCCCTCAGTAATGGCTGTGTCAAGCCTCAAAACACGCTGAACAGACGACAAGCGAGTCACTGCCCGGGCAGACGTCAAACGCGAAGCGAAATGAATGCGGCCTGCCCGCCTGCAGCTCGTGAAGGGCGAATGCATGGTACTATGCTAGGTGGGTATACTGCGATCAGCTTGGCTCTGGGTCACGCTCTGTCTCCTCATCGCTCCCTAGACTCACTCTCTGAATCCTTCTCCTCTCAAATCTACTGGGCGGGCTTGCTTCCTCCGTAAACGCGGCCGCTGGGCTCGACGCCCGCGCCCTCGGGCCTACGGCGCGCGCACGCCGCCAGCCCTTCCTCTTCAGTGACGTTGCGGACGGTGACGAGCTCCTTGATGCGCAGGATCTTACCGGCCGCCGTCGGCCCGATGGGCTGCAGCACGCTCTGGTGCAGCCGCGAGAGGCCGAGCGCCGTGACCGTCGCAGCCGAGGCGGGGGGCAGGCCGCGCGGAGAGCGCACGAGCGTAATGAGGTAGTGGGTGGGCTTGAGGGCGGCGAGGGAGGGGCGCATGGCGGCGTGAAAGGGGGGGGGAGGCAATGAGGCGATGGGCGATGAGTCGATGCAGCTGCGAGTCGAGGCGATATGCGAGCGCGTGAGTCGGAGATCGCGAGTAACATCGCTGTTCCGGTGCAAAGACGGAGAGAAGGGCAACTTTCGGTGGTGATAAGCACTTTGACAATGACGTGGACACTCCGGTGGAGGTCCGACGACTCGATCAAAAGTCGACAACCATTTCCCCCTCTCGTTACTACTTTCTTCTCCACCACCATGCTTTCCCTCGCCCGCACTTCTCTCGCGCGCCCCACGACGGCGCTGGCCCGCGCGGCTGTCGCCGTTCCCGCGCGTGCGTACTCGTACGAGCGCTCCTCCGGAGACCGCCCGAGCCGTCCCTATGGTGACCGCCCGAACCGGTTCGGTGGTGAGACGCGCTCATTTGGCGACCGCGATAACCACCGTGAAGGCCGCTCTTATGGCGACCGTGACAACCGCCGCGACAACCGCTCTTACGGCGACCGCCCGCAGCGCGGCTTCCGGTCCAATCGGCCCGACTACCGTGGAGAGGGCGGGTCGTCGGCGACAACGGAGGTCCCTCTCGCGTCGATTGCGAAGCGGACGCCCGAGACGGCGCCCACGCTGCTGACTCTGGCGGACCGGTCTGTCGAGGAGATTGTGGCGCTCGTCGAGGCTGCCCTCGTCTTCAAGCTTACGCAGAAGAACTTTGGCCCGCGCTTTGTCGGGCCAAGCATGGCCAACCGCTCGATTGCCATGATCTTCTCCAAGCGCAGCACGCGTACCCGTGTCGCAACCGAGACGGCAACCAGCACGCTCGGTGGTGTCCCCATGTTCCTCGGCCGCGACGACATCCAGCTCGGCGTCAACGAAAGCCTGTACGACAGCGCCAAGGTTATTGGCTCGATGGTCGACGGAATCATGGCCCGCGTCGGCAAGCACGAGGAGGTCGAGACGCTCGCCAAGCACGCTGGCATCCCTGTTATCAACGCCCTCTCGGACCTGTACCACCCCACGCAGATCCTTGCCGACATCCTCACGATCGTCGAGGCCGACCAGGGGCCGTTCGTCATCCCCGAGTCCATCGGCAGCCGGGATTCCAAGCCCCGCTTCGTGCGCAAGTGGGTGCGCGAGAACGTGGACATCAAAGCCGCACTGCAGGGCAAGAAGATGGCGTGGGTCGGCGACTCGAACAACATCTCCAACGAGCTGCTCGTCACTCTCCCCCGCTTCGGGATGGAGTTCGCCCTCGCCGCGCCCAAGGGCTACGACGCGATCGACCCGCGCGTCGCCGCGGTGCTGGAGCAGCAGGGTGTCGCCGACAAGATCACGTACACCAACGACCCCGCCGTCGCCGTCAAGGACGCCGACTTCTTGGTCACGGACACTTGGATCAGCATGGGCCAGGAGGAGGAGGCCGCCGCCCGTATCAAGGCGTTTGAGGGGTACCAGATCACGATGGACATGGCGAACTCGCACGGCGCCAAGGCCGACTGGAAGTTCATGCACTGCCTCCCGCGCCACAAGGAGGAGGTTGACGACGAGGTCTTCTACTCGGACCGCTCGCTCGTCTTCCCCGAAGCCGAGAACCGCAAGTGGACTATTATGGCGTGCATTGAGTAAGTGGTATCAGATTAACCACGCTGACGCGCAGCGCCATGGTCGGGTACTGGACCCCCGCGCGGCTCCCGCTCCAGTCGCAGGACACCATGGAGTGATGCGAGGTCGAAGACGGCACCAGACCAGATGTAGAAAATGTAGCGACGTCACACTCCTCTATCTCGATTGCAACGAGTTTCCAGCAATAGCAACAAGCATGCAGGCATACAAGGCACCAATACCGAGATGGTGCAGAGGAGGAGAGGCAGGCGTGTTTGGGTCGCCGCAGCGCACACTGAAGTGGGGGCAAGCCACATATGTCGTTACACTCCCTCTGGCGGCGCGGATCTCTCGCCGTTCGCGTACAAGGATGGGGGATTCTGCGTGCCGTCTAGCGATCGCTCCGTGTCTGTGTGAACGTGAGACAGATCTCGGTTCGGGCAACGTGGGCGTGGGCGTGGGCGTGGAGGGCGCGGGTGACTTGCTAGGTATAAGGCTCTACTCTGTTCTCGAGGCGCCGATGCGCGGCATGCGGCATGCGGCATTCGTGTGCCGCGCTCTGTCGGCGGCGCTGCATGCATGACGTGCGCGGCGTCGCGTGCGGCGCTAGACTGCACAGAGTTGAGACGGCTGAAGCTGAACACTCGGCGCGTCAAGGCCGTGGTGAATTGGGCATGATGCCGGTCCATCCGACGGACACGCGGACTGACGTCTTGTTTGGGTTGAGGCATGCCGCGTGCCAACAGTTTGGTGGGCCCCAAGTCACGAGAACAATTTCCTCCATCGTTTCTCTCTCTTCTCTTCTCTCTTCTCCTCTCTTCGCCGTCGCCGCGATCGCCACTACTCCCATCGACGTCGACAGATCAACGCAGGACTGGGCTGTATTCCTCTCCCCGCTCGCGCCGCTCGGCCGCGATCGCCACTACTCCCATCGACGTCGACAGATCAACGCAGGACTGGGCTGTATTCCTCTCCCCGCTCGCGCCGCTCGACC